TATATATATATGTCATATGAGTGCCAGGAGCCATGCAATCCACGAAACCATGCGAGTTGGGCTCCAATGCGTGGTAATTCAGTGCATTTTCTTTGACCGGAACACATGCGGTCCAATATAGATTGAATCAAAATTCCAGACATTTTGGATGAGGGGATTGACAGGGGTTGACCAACCTTCATCCATTCAAATCACTTCTTTCATTGTCTTTACCATCCGCATGTGGATCCCCCAAGGTTTGATCCCCCGCCGCCGATCCCCTCTTGGCCTGTGGTGACGAGAGGGCATCACCAGCTGGCGTTGCTCGGTGGATCTCGACGGGGGGGCCGTGGAGGACGTCGCTGGGGCTTGGGTGGAGCCAGTCAGAGGAGCCGAGCCAACGGTGAAGCCCCAAAACGGTCCGCCGGTCCGTCACTCTCGCGGAATGGCACAGACGGAATGAAGAAGGAACATGCTGGAAGGTCCCGGTGGAAGCTAAGTGAGTTTTGGGCCTGATACTTGGAGGGATACTTGGAGGATGAGGATGAGTTGGAACGGCAGAAGGGCGAAACAAGGAACGCTGGAGCTTGTAGGCCCTTACTTGATGAGAATCAGTGAGATCCCTCCAAAGCCACTAGGCCACTAAGCAGGTGCAAGGATGATTCAAGCAACTGCGAGAGCAAGGCACTAACCTGTGCGGCATGCATCAAAAGCTTCAGTCAGGTGTTGGTCACTAGTATAGTGATAGAGGATGATAGAGGTGTTTTGACAAGTTTTTAGCATCTCCAACTGGAAGAGCCAAGACGCCAGAAGACTTCGGCCATGAAAGACACCGGACAGACTCCCGATGTGTTCAGAATCGCAGGTTTTCAGGAAAGCTACATACATTGTTCTCATGAAGACATTAGGGCACAGCAAGCTACAGGAAGTCATCCTATCACAAGAAGACAATGGTAAAAGGAACCACTTCTGCGTCATACTGCCAAGTCGGTGGCCACCTGTTCTGGCCACGCCACGCGACGAAGATTTGTGTGCCCAAAGTCGGTGGAATTTCGGCCAGAGTTGATTTCATCATCAGCAGCCCCAGCCACATCATATCCTTGGATCCTTGGAACATCTTGGAACAATCCCTCAGCCAGCAGCCCCCCCCAGGTTGGAGGCTGCTTTGCAGAGTACCGTGCTCCTGAAGAACGATGGAAGGTGGGCTGGGACCATCCGAAGGACTGGGATCATCCGAGCACGGAAGGACCAGTCCGTGTAGCGACTCAAAGGCATCGGACCACGGAGCTCTGCGGTCTGAGCTCCGAAAGGGTCGGGAACGAGTCTACCAGATCCAAGCAGTCTACCAGCCCAGCAAACCCAGCGAGGGTGAGAAAGGGTGGAGACCCCTGTGTTGTCACTGCTACACCATTCGACTCCAGGGGAGACTGGACCTCCAGTTCCCAAAGCTTCGGAACCGGGAGGTCTCCATGTATTGTAAATGGTCACAAGAAGCTACGAACTGGGCTCCTGGCCTCGCTACGAACGGAGCGATTGGACTACGAACCGGGGCGAACGTGGCCGTACTACGAACGGAGCAAGAAGCTACGAACGTAACAAGAAACCCACATGTCCTACACGGTGGATACGAGGGCTCGACTCGGAGGCCAGGCCGATGATCGTCCTGGGCCGGCTCGGCTCGGGTTTGACTCTGCTGCCGGGTTTTTGGAGGCCAGGCAAAGCCTCCAACAGTGGTGAAGGGGGGAGAAGGGGGCATATACCAGCACCCTCCAGTCCAGGTGCTTCCTGTGTTTCCAAGTCCAGTGCCCAGGTTCACCACGTCGGGTCTCTAAACAGCCGAACCTTGGAGGGTCCTGGTATATAATATACTTTTGTTCTTTTTTTGGGGGTGCGTCTACACTCCCTGAAGTCATCATGCTTATTGTGGATCACATGGGCCTGGCCCCGATTTCATCCGACTAGGCTGCCCCTGCAGCGGGGCCTGCGGCTAGCAGTGCTGGGTCCATTGCGGAACGCCACAGAGGAGCTTTTGGGGAACTACCAGGCGAGGAGGATGAGACACATGGTGCTGTTGTGTGATGGAGATCAGATCAGCTCTCGTTTGGTATTCAAGTGCATGTTGATTTCTAATATCTAGGAAGAAGAACGTGACATGTGTTCTTCAAACATTCACACGCACAACGCTTTGTCACCTTTATAGTTTAAGATCGTCAAATGGAGGCAGGATATACAAAGCTCCCATGTTTCTAGACGTCAAACTTGAGGATGTATTCTGTTGGATGGTGTATGCAAAGCAACAGATAGAGAGTCCCCCCTTGGTCTTCAGACCTTAGACCTTCGTCCGCCTGGAACCGCGGTGCAGCGCTGGACGATGGGTCCAGACCACAGAGTACCTTAGGTTCAATAGCTGAGTGGACTCATTCAAGGCGTCGTCAGCCTCAGTGGAAGAGTACCTTAGGATATGCATGGATATCTCAAGATGGTCATTGATGTTCCTTCTGCCTTGGCTTCGTCACCGGTGAGTGTCCTTTCCTTTCAACCACACCGAACTCTCAGCGCACCGCTGCGGACTGGGCCAAGTCGAAGGCCTGGCCAGTGGACGTGGTTTCACCGCTGGAGGGCTTGAAGGAGGTGGACGACTGGGGGCGGAGGAAGACTGGGCGCGGAGCGCAAACTTGGGGAGAGGATGGAACGAGAAAACGGTATAGGATGTGAGTCCTGAAGCTATTTGTACCTTTTTTGTTGTTTTGTTGCGCATCAGCAGCTCGGAAGGGCGGTAGAAGGGCCCACGAAGTTTCCAAGCTGCTGAACGCAGGCCACCGGAATGAACCATGGCCTATAGGCCATGCTGCTTTCTGGGGCATAAGAAGACCGTGGCCATTTGGACCTGGCCATGTGCATGTGACCTGAATCATGACCCACATACTCCTAGCGGCACAGGCGGCACTGGTGCCTTTCATCCCAGAGTGCGGCGGGCGCCGTTGGTTCGGACCGCGCCGTTCCCGGACGGTGTTCGTTGCGGTTCCCGTTCGGCGCCCTGGGGTCCCGTAGCAAGCAGCCAAAGCCTCACGTGGGAAGCCCATACCATGGGAAGCCGACCACAGGTGTTTTGTAGAGGAAAAACCCTCCAAGGTTCGGCTGTTTAGAGGACCCGACCACAGGTGGTGAACCTGGGCACCGGACTTGGAAACACAGGAAGCACCTGGACTGGAGGGTGCTGGTAGAGTAAAAACAGCATGTACAAGAAGCTATGAAGGAGGCGACATGAGACGACTACCCCGTGGGTTGCATCCAAGATCATGGTTGCAGACACGAGACAAATTCATCAGCAATTCAGGATCATTCATTTGGATCTCTGGGTGTTGCAGCCTACGACCTTTTACAAAGGCCTTCGTAATGACTCAATTGACTCCTCATATTCTTCCAATCATAGTTAACGATTTTTTTTGATTCACTCCAAAAGGCATTGACAAAAAACGAGCCGGGGTGGAGCTAAACCACCAATTGCCGTAGGGTGTGCAAGACAACTCCGGTCTCCCAGACAACCCCTGGCTCACCCCTGACCCATTCGGCCAGGACCGCTCCGTCCACCTTATGATTAAAACTTAAAGGACCACGATCTTCGGGTCTCTTCGGGTGGATCATCTACAGGTGGAGGGCCGGGGAGTCCCTCCAGGGCCCCTCCGGACCACCCCCCCGCACCGCCCGGAGTCCTCGAGGTGGCCACCGTGCTCACGCCGGGCGAGGAGATGGAGCTCTGCGGTGCCGCGCCTGCGTGCCTTGGAGAGGGTGGGAGGGGTCGGTGGGGAGACTGTGGTTTCTCTTCATGGCAGCAAACATTTTGGACTGGGGACGGTTTCAGGAACTGAACTTTTGATGGGGCTTAGGTGCCAGCACTGCAAGCATCTGCAAGCCTGTCCATAGCTGTAAGGCATGCTGCTCCGTTGAGGGAAGTATTGTGCAACGCAGACCCTCCGGCAGACATTCACAGCCGGAACAGCCTGATCTTGCAGGTTTCTGACTGTTGCTGTTTGCCAATGAAACCCTTGTGGAAGGGAACGCAATCCATGGCGTCGTTCACCAGAGATATGGGAGTGCTTTTCGCTCTCCCATCGACCCGTCGAGGATGAAGACAGTCCTGTCTGCAGGATGAGCAGACCTCCCCAAGGATTGTGAACATCAGTCATAGACATAGACATGAGCATTTGGTCACAAGATGTCACAAGACTGAGAAGCTTACACTCCCCTGGAATCATCACAAAAAGTGGACAACTGGTTTGTTTTCGGATTTCATGGTCGTGATGCATGATTCGACGCACGGGAAAATTTGAGTTCGATAACGTCCAGCGACTGTTACCTAAAGGACCTCCCGAAAAGGGTTTATTTGATTTATTTGCTCCCCCAAACTCTATATGGGTGTGTATTTTAATAGGGAGACCCCCAACACAGGGGTTTTGGTCTATTATCCGAATCCTTCTTCCAGGGAGTCTTTGAGAGGTCTTCCTAACTCACCCATAGTGACCCGATCGAGAGAATGTCCTGTCGGCTTTATTTTTATCTTTTTCCCTCAAAATCAGAGGATTTGGGTCTTGGCTTGGACGAACGCCCCTTGTTACTAGTAGCTTCTTGCTCCTAGTAGTAAGGCTAGGAGCCCCTAATAGCGTCCTTGCTCCTAGTAGCGATGCCCCTTGTTCCTTGTAGCCTCTTGCTCCTATTTGTTCTGCATCTTTTGAAGGGAACCACCCGGCTTCTTTGGACGCGAAGCGTGCTTGACGTGGATTCATAGCTGCCAGAAGAGGGTATATGAATGTGTCTGTGTCTTTGAACGGGGAGACACCCGATCGCCCAATGGGTAGACTGGTCTATTTTCCGAAGCCTCAGGGGGTCGAAACGACTGGTGTCGCCCTCAAAAGCGATCACCTGGTTGATCAATGTCCTCTCCCACAAAGTCCTCGACTCTAAAAAGAATCGTCTTTGCTAAGGGGGCTATACTTTGGACATCTGGTCACATATGGGTTTCCCACCTAAACAAGCTGCAGGCAGAAAAAGGTGAACCTCTATTTTCCAGCGAAACTGAAGGACTCAGTCGTTGGTCATGTCCTTTGGTTGAAGTTTCGGCCGACCAAACCCAACATGACCCAGCTCGGGGACCATCGATGTCGCCCAGCTCTCAGGCTCACCAAGCCGGACGCCGATGCGGTGGTGGTGGTCGCCGGCCTCACGGGCGACGATGGCAAGGTGGGGGGGCCCGGAGGGTCGGCCGGGGGCGGTTCTGATCCGAAACAACACCACTGAAGAAACAGAAAAAAAAACACAATGCAAGCTGGGTGTCATACAAACCACAAACAAAACGTTTTTCGGATTCGGTTCTTCATTTCAGGAACAAGTTGGAAGCCACGAAAAGGGCCATGGTGGGGAACTCTCCGTCTTAAGATTCGGACATGGGCCACCCAGGATCAAGACGTCGGACTGACCCGTCGGGTCGCTAAGAAGAGCCGGTCAAAAGCGCGGATGCTGAGCACATGGTGAAGCATCAATCGGCATCACCTGAGAGGTTTCCAAGAAAGCCCCAGACATTTGCATGAACTGCAGCTGCACCCAGAATACCGTTTTCATCCGTTTTCCATATTTAAGGGCTGCCGCCCAGTGCCGCCGACCCCAGGAAGGGAGACAAAAGAGGTGTGGGGCGGACAGAAGGCATGGTGACGCGTGGGTGGTAGCGCAGAACACATGGGGACACCGCGGCGTGCTGCACCGGCTATGTGGAATCCCCAATGTGAGGAGGGGGCAGGAGGGGGTGCTGCATCGGCTACGTGGAGAGGAGGGGGCAGGGAGGGGGTAAGCGTTAGAGATATTAAAGGGGGTGGGGCAGACAGAGGGCATGGTGACTCCACGGTGTGCTGCATCGGCTACGTGGAACCCCCATGTGGATGTTAAGGGGCTGGAGGACGCAGGGACGGGGCCATGGCAGTGTAGACGGGGTGGAGGGAGAGGGTGCAGGCAAGAGGGATGAAGTGGGAGACACAGGAACGGAGTCCCTATGGTCCCTGTGTGGAGGTTTACTCGGGGTGGCAGTGGGACATGGTGCCAGTATAGGGTGCAGGCAAGAGATGAAGTAGGTGGTAGGGCAGGCGTGCTGCATCGGCTACGTGGAATCCCCAATGTGAGGGGGGCAGGGATGGGGTAAGCGTTAGAGATGTTGAAGGGGGTGGGGCAGACAGAGGGCATGGTGACTCCACGGTGTGCTGCATCGGCTACGTGGAACGCCCATGTGGATGTTAAGGGGCTGGAGGACGCAGCAGGGACGGGGCCATGGCAGTGTAGACGGGATGGAAGTAGAGGGTGCAGGCAAGAGGGATGAAGTGGGAGACACAAGGAACGGAGACCCTAAGGTTTACTCGGGGTGGCAGGACATGGCGCCAGTATAGGGTGCAGGCAAGAGAAGGTGGTAGGGCAGAACACATGGTGACTCCACGGCGTGCTGCATTGGCTACGTGGAATCCCCAATGTGAGGAGGGGGCAGGGATGGGGTAAGCGTTAGAGATATTAAAGGGTGTGGGGCAGACAGAGGGCATGGTGACTCCACGGTGTGCTGCATCGGCTACGTGGAACCCCCATGTGGATGTCAAGGGGCTGGAGGATGCAGCAGGGACGGGGTTGTGGCAGTGTAGATGGGGTAGAAGTAGAGGGCGGAGGCAAGAGGGATGAAGTGGGAGACAAAAGGAAGGGAGTTCCTCTGGTCGCTATGTGGAGGGACCTGGTGCCCGTATAGGGTGCAGGCAAGAGACGAGGTAGGTGGTAGGGCAGAACACATGGTGACTCCACGGCGTGCTGCATCGGCTACGTGGAATTCCCAATGTGAGGAGGGGGAAGAGAGGGGGTAAACATTAGAGATATTGAAGGGTGTAGGGAAGACAGAGGGCATGGTGATTCCACGGTGTGCTGCATCGGCTACGTGGAACCCCCATGTGGATGTTAAGGGGCGGGAGGACGCAGTGGATGTTAAGGGGCTGGAGGACGACGCAACAGAAACGACCCATGGCAGTGTAGACGGGGTAGAAGTAGAGGGTGCAGGCAAGAGGGAAGTGGGAGACACAAGGAACGGAGGCCCTATGGTCCCTGTGTGGAGGTTTACTCGGGGTGGCAGTGGGACATGGCGCCAGTATAGGGTGCAGGCAAGAGATGAAGTAGGTGGTAGGGCAGAACGCATGGTGACTCCACTGCGTGCTGCATCGGCTACGTGGAATTCCCAATGTGAGGAGGGGGCAGGGATGGGGTAAGCGTTAGAGATATTAAAGGGGGTGGGGCAGACAGAGGGCATGGTGACTCCACGGTGTGCTGCATCGGCTACGTGGAACCTCCATGTGGATGTCAAGGGGCTGGAGGATGCAGCAGGGACGGGGTTGTGGCAGTGTAGACGGGGTGGAGAGGTTTACTTGGGGTGGCAGTGGGACATGGTGCAGGGAAGAGATGAAGTAGGGCAGGCGTGCTGCGTCGGCTATGTGGCATCCCCAATGAGGAAGGGGGCAGGCAGTGGGACATGGCGCCAGTATAGGGTGCAGGCAAGAGATGAGGTAGGTGGTAGGGCAGAACACATGGTGACTCCACGGCGTGCTGCATCTACGTGGAATCCCCAATGTGAGGAGGGGGCAGGGATGGGGTAAGCGTTAGAGATATTAAAGGGTGTGGGGCAGACAGAGGGCATGGTGATTCCACGGTGTGCTGCATCGGCTACGTGGAACGCCCATGTGGATGTTAAGGGGCTGGAGGCGGGGCCGTGGCAGTGT